GGAGCTGGGGGTGCTGGTCGGCAGCCGGCGCACATGAGGCTACGAGAATATGAGCCAGCAGTGTGCCCAGGTGGCCGAGGCGGCCAACAGCATCCTGGCTTCTGTCAGGGATAGTGTGGCCAGCAGGAGCGGGGGAGGGACCGTGCCCCTGTGCTCCGCGCTGGTGAGGCCCCACCTCGAATACTGTGCTCAGTTTTGGGCCCCTCACTACAGGAAAGACATTGAGGTGCTGGGACATGTCCAGAGGAGAGCCACAGAGCTGGTGAGGGGTCTGGAGCACAAGTCCTAAGAGGAGCGGCTGAGGGAACTGGGGTTGTTTAGCCTGGAGAAGAGGAGGCTGAGGGGAGACCTTATTGCCCTCTACAACTTCCTGAAAGGAGGCTGTAGCGAGGTGGGGGTCGATCTCTTCTTCCAGGTAACAAGTGATAGGACAAGAGGAAATGGCCTCAAGTTGTGCCAGGGGAGGTTTAGGTTGGACATTAGGAAAAATTTCTTCACCATAAGGGCGGTCAAGCATTGGAAGGGGCTGCCCAGGGAAGAGTCCCCATCCCTGGAGGTATTTAAAAGACGGGTAGACGAGGTGCTCAGGGACATGGTTTAGTGGTGGGATGGCAGGGTTAGGTTAACAGTTGGACTTGATGATCTTAAAGGTCTTTTCCAACCTAAATGATTCTATGATTCGATGATCTTTTGCTTCCTCCTCTTGCAGCCTTTGAGGCAGAAATTCAGTGTGGCCTCCCTGAACACTCTTGAGCTGCTGTGGTGTGAGGACAAGAACTGTCCTGAGCTGTGTGGTGGGGGAAGCCAGGCTGCGTCATTGTCCCCACAGCCATAGCTGGGTCCTGTTACGTGAGAAGGGGTGACCGGTACTAAGGCGGCTGGCCAAAGCCCCTTCGCTTCTCCCTGGTAGACGTGAGCCCACCCCACGTTCGAAGCCCAGCACTCGCTGCTCACGGCCGTGGTTGCTTCTCATCGGAGAATTCACCGGATTACTTACTGGAGCGCTACTCGGAGCGTGACCCCAGTGAAGACGGGTGGATGAGGTGCCTAGGGACATGGTTTAGTGGTGGGATGGCAGGGTCAGGTCAACGGTGGGACTTGATGACCTTCAAGGTCCTTTCCAACCCAAAGGCTTCCATGACTCGGTGATTCTATGACTACAGCTCCCGGCGGGCCGCGCGCCGAGCCCGCCCCCGCGGGGCAGGGCCTGCCGG